GGTCACTGGTTAGGCCACATTTAGAATAGTGTGTTCAGTCTTGGGCTCCTTACCTTAGGAAAGACATTAAATTGTTGGAAATGGTTCAGAGAAAGGCTACAAAAATTGTGCCTTGGATAGAGGGTTGTCATATGAGGAGAGGTTAAAATCTCTCAAATTGTTTTCTTTTGAAAAAGAAGAGTTAGGGGGATCTGATTAAGGTGTTTAAGATTGTAAAGGGAATTGACAGTGTTGATGTACCATCTTTTTTATATTTAACAATGAGAATAGTAGGACTAGGGGACACAAATATAAATTTTGACAAAGTAGGAATAATCTTCAGTTAAGACAGTTTTATTTTTATAACAGGGTGCTTGGCCTTTGGAATGGGTTGCCTTCAGATGTTGTAGAGGCAGTAAATTTAAGTGAGTTTAATAAAAAGCTTGGCAAGTATATGAATGAAAAGGGTTGGATTTAAAATGTTATTATTATTATTGTTTTTTTATCATTTTAATTTAGTTTTGAGGATGGAACAGCTGAGATGGACTAATAGGTCCCATGTTGTCCCAAAATATTATGTTATATGTTAAAATAGTTCCAAGGTAGGTTGTATTCAACAACTTCATCCTGAAAGTGCTAATAAAAAATACAAAACCTAACAAAAATATTTATAAAGGGCATGTCCTTTATCTTTATGGAACATCCTCAATCACGTGTGAGCTATGTTTAAATAATTTAAAAGCCAGTGTACATTCTATTTTTGAATTATGGTGTTCTGATAGAAAAAAAATTTATCCGTTGAAATATATTCTGTGGTTTTTACATTTATAAAAGATTCATAGTACATGTAGGCATGATGAATGTATATTACAGTACATGTAAGCATAAACAGGACTGTACTATGAAAAACTATGATGATTTATGAAGTTTGATTATTTTAAGTATTATAGTTTTGTGTACACATGTAGTTTTTATTTTGTAGTAACAGAAATGTATTTTTTTTTGGGTGTTATGTGAGTAAAATAAAGGTAGATAGCAACTATATGTTTTATCCAGTCAAAAGTATGGTGCTGCTGCTTTAAATTCAATGATTGATATTTACATCATTATAAAGCATGCTTTGGAAAACTAATTTTGGTGATAGTAATCTAGTGCAAACAAGACAAGTTTATGTATAGTGAAAACATGCTGAGAATTTAAGCTGGGAGTCGTAGGGGGAGTGCTCAAAGCAAAAGATTATAATAGATACTTCTAATTGCAAAAATTAATAGAGACTTTTAAATGTTATATTTATATGCTTCTACTCAGATGGATTTGGTAGGACAAAACACTGAAAGATGTGATATAGAGAAAAAATCTAAGCAAAAGTTTTTATTTTTGTTTTTATTATTATTTTACAATTTATTGTTTTCATTTATGGCCTGATATTTTCATGGCATAATTTTTTTAATTTGGATGCTGAAAACTTTGTGCCCAAAAGTGCTAACTGCTCCCAAATTTAGCCTGTATTATTCTCCAGTATTCTCTGAGAGTGTATATTATGTTTAGTTTCCATAGTTAGCTATCCCCAGGCATCTGGTTTTGTGGAATTTTTAGTTCTTACTTTATGAACAATGCTTTATATATACAGAACAATGTTGTTCTTTATGAAATAATTTTCCATGTATAATTTATGATTTTTCCTCCTTAGTTATGATTTTATATGCAGTTAGTTGAAGATTATAAGTATTAGAAGATAATGGAGATAGAAAAGTTAATGCTTATATTTAGCTATATATTTTCTTTCTCCTTGAAGTTACGGTGTACTGTTGTTACTATATGTGTCAGGTAGACTTGGAGCCAGAAGAAAAAATGCATAGGATTGTCGAGTTACTATCTTAAGGTAAAATTTATGTTAAAATAGATTTGTTAAAAAAAATATATCTGGCACCTCTAAGATTAACTAAATACTTTCTATCTTGTTGCCATATCTATTTTGAGAGAAAAAAAAGTTTTGAGAACTAATATTTCTTTATATACATGTGCATCTTTTCATAATAAGACAAGTAAGAAGTGATAACTGTATATATATAGATGTTTTTGTTGTTGAACATTGCCAAAATAATGTACATACAGTAAACAAACAGAAAACTTTTCATGTGTAAAATATTCACCACATTCATTTATTGAAATGTAAGTTTAAATAATAGATAAATACATGTAGTCAGAGAATAATAACATCCAGCTGACAAAATACTGAACAATGGAAAGCAACAATTATGCTACAAAACAAGATAGAGGTTATTCTTAGGCCACAATGGTGTAAACATTACAGTATAATTTTCTAAAAAAATTAGAATAAATAGCTATAAGTTTGTAATCTAAAAGTATATTAAATTCAGATAATTAAAAACAAAATCACATCATTCAATATCATCTAACCACAGATACTTGCATGTACCCAGTATTTCTTTCTTGCAATGATTAGTTGAATGAAATTCTGATTAAAATTATTTATGTGTGTATATATCCTGTGATTTTATCTGTGACAGCTAGGAGTGGCAAATAGTTGAGTGTGACAGTGCAGCAAAAATTAAGTTGTTATAATGTTTACAAATATAGACTTAAAAGATAAGTGTGCCTATTGTAGCTTTTGCAAATATGGAATAATAGCACTTGCAAGATTAAAGTATTATGTTTCAATAAAAGTAAATAATACAAACTGAACAAATTAGTTATTTTGGATACTCACTTTTCAACTAAATGTAGTTTTGAAGAAAAAAAAAAGAATGCATAGATAAAGAATTTCTTAAACTTTGGGGTTTAACATTTTAATTTTTTAACAAGAATTAGCAATGTAGTCAGCACTAGTCACAACTTTGTTTTTAATTGGTTTATTAATGAACACAGTACTTATAAACCACTTTATGGAGGTTTTGATTTCTAATGCAGTGACTAATGATTAATCTATTGGATTAACTAAGGAGTAAATAGTTAAAAAAACAAATATATAAGTGAATGTGTAATTAGATATAAAAGTTGTACCTCCAGTCATTCTGTTTTACTGAGTTATTACTAGTTAGAGATTCAGTGTAATGAAGCCTATAGTGATACTAGATTATGGATTTAATGGAATAGTTGCTAGTATGATGAGTGGTATTTTGTGTTTCTGCTATGATTGCTTCTTTCATATATACATATTTGTGTGTGTGTGTGTTTTCTATTTATTAGTTTATTAAATGTGGATATTTTTTAGTCAGGTTTGGAGCTTTAATGCATTTTTATCCTAATCTGAAACTTGAATTTAAGTATATCGGTAGAAGTCTTGTTTAGTGCAATGTTGTAATGATGTGTTCTAAATATAGTATGCTTGTAACAAGTCAGTGTAACATATACATGGTGATGTTCTTGCATTTAATGTAGATACATTTCATATTGTAAACTTTTTAGTTTTATTTTGAACAGATAATACCATACAAAAATGATAAGAGCTCAAAAGAAAGGCATGGACTCAACTGCTGGCAAAGTGCAATGTGAAAACGTGTACGTCGAATTAATGGGCACAAATGTATGGCCAAAATTCTTCAATAGCCAACACTTTGCTCACATTGCAGGGAGTGTATATTGTACATACATGTGTTTAGTAGCAGTTAAAAATTTTTAATCAAAAAAGTATTTATACATAATGTATTTATTTATTTATTCATTAATATATTACTGAAGTGGGTGTTTTAGATTATTTATAAATTTTACATTAATTATTGAAGTGAACTTGTTCATTTGTCTCTTTTCATTACCACAAGGAACCTGCTTGTTTTAATATCATGACTTATTTTTGTGTAATTAAAGAAAGGGAAGTAAATTGATCATGGTGTTTAGTGCTTGTAGCAAGGTAATCAACCTTGTAATTATTACTAGAGTAAAAATTAGAGTAATCTAGTAACACAATATCTTATAAATGTGTTCTGTTACAAAAAACATGAATAGTGATAAAGTTCAATGCAGAACAAAAATAATCCGGTTCCAAGGAAGGACTTAAAAATTTCAATTTCATATCATTAAATTTATGCCAAGCATATAATGTCAGCTATTTTTATATTTTAAGAATTCAATATATATATTTTTTAATCAGTTAGTTGAGGATCTATTATTTGACAAATATGTGGAGCTATGGACATATGGTTGTTATTTTGTTTTCTGCAGTTGTATTTTTCTGTGTGATATTTCTTCAAAACCTAAAATTTAACTTTGTAATAATGCTTTACAAAAGTTTTGTGTAGTTTAAAAAAACTGTAAAGAATACAATTCTTATACTAAAATTATGTTTAATATTCTTACGAGGGTACAAAGTCTGTTCAGATTGTAAGGCATTTTTTGTTAGAATTTATCAATTTATCCTTAATTTTATTGTCTAAGTAAACAAACTATTAATTCAGAATATAATATTTTGATATGTTGTAAATGTTGACAAAAGACAGTTGTTAAAGAAATAGATGAACTGTGCAGTTTTTTTTAGTATTAACATTGTTTAGTATGCCTTTTTCTTATCACCTTATTACTGAGTTTTGTGATTGCTGAGATTTCTTTTTAGGTAAAATACATGTAAAGGACAAAAAACAATTGAGTCCTACTTATTCTGCCATTTACATTATTTTGAGGCCTAATATAGGCTTTAGAACAGTAATACTGTTTATTATTAATAAGTTTTATTTGTTGAAATTAGTACAGTTGCTTGGTTTTAAAGATATTATGATTTGTTCTCTTTGTCTGATTGTAATTGTTTCTAGCAGGGGTCTTGGAAAACAGGGTTATCAATTTCAAGGTAATGTTTTTGTGCTAATAACTTGTATGTAATCTTTATTGTATTAACAAAAAATTACTAGCAGTATATATATTTTTTATTAGTTTTAACAGGGTAGTAATATTCTGACCACTCAAAACAAAAACTTTAAATAAAATTATCATCAACTAACATTGTAAGTAATTTTAGTTTTGTTATGTATATTGTAGGAACAATATGGAGTAGGTTCTAAAATTTATTGTAAATTCCGACATGTCTCTCATGCAAATCATCATGCATCACTTCACCACCAATAGGAACAGATTTATTGGACTCTTCTTCACAATGAATTCTGAAGTTCATGTTACCACTTCGGGGGTCACACCAGCAACTAGCGTTCTTTCTCAGGCCTCAGGTGTGGGTGACTCGATGTTAGATTTATCCATGTTTGTCCAGCAGGAGATTGAATGTCACATGGATCAGCCTTTGTCTCTGGACCTTGCCCCATTTCCTCCCGAATATTCAAAACCTGTTCAGACTGATGAGGACTTGGATCGTCTATTTCTGCCTCCTGATTTTGCCGTACCTTTTCATCCCCCGCCTGAGGAATCAATTAGTCCTAACTTGATCTTTTTTTGGATTTTGTTTTGCAGGTATTTGACGTTTTATCCCTTTCTCCTATTTCTTATGAGCCACTTCCTTACTACATGACCAATCTTCCCACCACTTCTTGGTTCCCCCCCTCATATTTGTGTTCATACTGATCAATTTGCCTCAAAATTAAGCGATGGGATTAGCATGCCTTGCGCCCCCCTCACGGACTTCACAATAGTTTGTGCTTTCATACAATTGTGCTGACTGTCCCTTTTTGGACCAATAGCTGTTAGGTTCCTTATTGCTCATTTGGGGGGGTGGCTCCTGAATCACCTGTCAGTCTGACCCATGCCCAGGATTCTTGCCTGAGTCTTACCCTTATAACTCTTTTTATATTATCGTTCTTCTCTACACCTCTCTGAGGCTCTCCACAGAAATCCTGAGGAGTTTTCTGGGATAACCTTTTCCTTCTTTCCTCCACACTAGCTCATTTATCGTCTTTGGCTTTGGCTTTGCATAAGTGGTTTCTCTGTTGTTGGGATCTTATAGGTCTTGATGCGATTTTGGCTCAAGCCAATTTAGCATCGACTTATCCTCAGGATTTACGTATGGGCCCCATTTCTGTGGCAATACATTTTTCACATGATCCCAGAAATACTAGAGCCACAGGTGGCATTGGTCCAACAACAGTCTACCCTTACCAATATTATTGCATGTTTGTCTCAGTCACAGCCCCATAAACCACCTATTACCATTTCCTGTCTTTTTTCTTCCCAACCTTTACCTGTCCCTTCTTCTTGGGGTGCTTCTTCTCATCATTGTTTTTTCAACCATGCACCTCACATTGCCAACATTACAAATGACTAACCAGTGGGTTCTAGTCTGGTGGGACCTCGGCTTACTGATTTTCTTCATTGCTGGCATACCTTCATTGAGGATCAATGGGTTCTTCAGATTTTATAAGAAGAATTCATGATCCCCATTCTTTCCCCACCTTTTGTATGTCTTTTTCTCGTTTCCTTCCCTCCTTCTCAGGATCCCATTATTAGTCAGTATCTGTTGGAAGAGGTTCAGGATTTTCTATCTCAGCAGGCCATTGAACCTATTCTCCATCCTTCAACAGGTTTTTATTTCTGACTTTTTGTTATTCTCAAGAATACTAGGGACTGAATGCCAGTCACAGATTTATATTGCCTTAACCATGGAGTCTTTTCTCACCCTGAGGAGGATGTTTTCTTTGGGTTTATGGATGACCAAAATGGATGTTGCCAATGCTTATCTCCACATACCTATATCACTTTGGTTATGTACTTATCTTCGATTTGTCCATCTCAGGGTTGTTTATTAATTTTGAGCACTACCATTCTGGCATGCTTCGGCCCCCTTATGTTTTCTGTTGGGTAGTCTGATCATTTTCTCAACATCTTCATGCTCTGTGGTCGAGTTTTCACTATTACATAGATAACTGGATTCTTCTGGCTCATTCAAAACAGAAGTCAGCCAGCCATATTCGGCAGCTCCTCTTAATGACTGCTCGAGTGGGCTGGTTAATCAAACTGGAGAAGTCCTTCCTCAGGCATGTCATCCATTTGGAGGTCTTTTTCAACACTTATCAGTCTGGCCCAGCTTTCTCCTATAAGACTTTGTTTTATGGAAGTGTTTGTTTGCCATGCCCTCTTGGGTTCCATCACTTACTGCTCACAAAGTTCTATCGTTTTTAATGATGTGGTTTTCAATGGCATCACTGGTCACTCTTGGTTGGTTTTAAAGAGTACCACTTCCTCCCCGGAATCTGAATCTACATCTTTTTGTGAATGCATCCCTGCAGGGTCAGGGTGCATGGTCAACCACCAGGAAGCTTCAGGCTGTTGGTCTGTGGACGAAAGCTCTTTGCATATTAATCTTCTCGAACTTCTAGCTGTACATCAGGTGGTGAATCACTTTTTTCGTCTTGCCTGATATTGTCTGGTGATGGTTTATTCCAACAATTCTACAGTGGTGGCATATATCAATCATCAAGGACACCAGGTTGAGAGATCTGTTTTCGTATGTTGGATCTCTTATACTGGGCCCACACGCAACATATTCATCTGATTGCATGTCAGGTGCTGAGTGCTTTCAATCTTATTGTGGATTGCCTTACCTATCCTGACCAGATATATCCAACAGAGTGGTCCTTAGATCCTCTTGTTTTCAGGGAACTTTGCATTTCGTGGGATTCGTCCCATGGGGATGCATTTGCCATGAGTGTGAATCACAAGTTACCTCTTTTTTGGTCGCTGGTCCCTCATCTTCAGGCTCTGGCAGTCAATGCCTTCAGCTAAGATTGGTCCCACAAATATCTTTATGTTTATCCTTCTATCTGATTATTTCATCAGGTGATCTCTTTCATCTATACCACTCCTTGTTGGCTCCTTCTGATTGCTTCTGATTGGCCAGCTCAGGTGTGGTTTCCATGGTTACAGCAACTGCTACTCTCTCCTCTTGTACCTCTTCCGTCATCTCCCTACCTTCTTCGTCAACCTCAGTTGCCAGTCCTATATCCTGCCTTTCACTTCCTGCATCTTCATACCTGGCTTTCATCCAGTCCTAGATAAGGAGTTCCAATTTCCTTTTAGCTGGTTCCATACATCTTTCTTCTATGGAAGTGTATCAGCACAAGTGGAAGGTGTTCCACAGTTGATTTACAACTTGGGGATTTCCCTCTGACCAGCCTACTATGGCTTAGGTGGCAGAATTTTTCACTTGGCTTTTTGACCTGGGGTCCTTAGTCACCTCACTCCTTCCCATACCTTTAATTTTTCTCGATACTGTAGAGTTTTTATTGACCTGTCCTTACCATACTACTGCATTCATTCTGGTTGCATTGCCCTCCCAGGCAACCTACCCTTCTAGATTGGGATGTTAATATTTCCTTCTTCTCTTAGCCTGTGGACATCGATGGTCAAATTTGTTTGCCATTGACATTTCACATACATTTTATTACCCTACCTATCTTCTCCTTTATCTGGATTGTTCCATCCTCCCAAAGACCTCAGCGGCTTAGTAACTTAGAGAGTAACTCCTCCTTTTTGCCTATTTCTCTTCCTTCCATTTCTCATATTTAACCTTGACCAGATCCAAATAGGCTTCTGTGTCTGGTCAGGGCTCTTCATTGTTATATTCCCATACGGCTTCCTTCTGTGGTACCTCTTCCCATGGCAGTCTTCCTCCCTTCGTGATCTGATTGGCTTTTTCCTCCTTGCCTTCTTCCTCTTGGAATTTGTTCTGGGTGTCTTCTCATCAGAATAGACATGTCACCTTTTCTCTCGCTTCTCATCTTCATGGTCCATTAGAGAAAATTCTACAATCAGGCATGTGGACCACCGCCCAATATGTTTGTATCCCATTACCTACATTATATCATGGTTTCTTTTTCATCGGGTTTTTGTCTTCCACCTATGGCCATTCTTCAGACGTTGGTGCGACTCTGACTGGTAAGTTTCTATCTATACTTTCTTTTCTTTTCAGGAGCCTTTTTCTTCATTCCTCATTATATGGATCCCACTCTGTGGTAAGTGGTGCCTCACCAGGTGTTCTTTAACTTGAAATCTGCACTGTACAGCCATGTTTACTCATGCTTTATATTCTACGGCTTCACAAGGCTCAAAATAGTAGATCAGCACAACTTGCCACAGTGATACAGGATGACATGAGGAAGAGCATGGGAAGGGGGGTAGATCCCCCATCTAATCTATCTATATATATAAAAGCAAAATTGTATGTTTGTCTGTCTGCTAACTCCTTGCACACTATTTAACCAATCTTCACCAAACTTGGCAAGTTGACTCCTATGATCCCCAGAAGAAACATGAAAGGTTCAAAATTCCCATCAGGTTTCCCACAAAAAAGTGCACATTTGATTTTGCCAAACAACTTGCAACATGTTACCTATTTCTTTATTTTTCTATAATATTGAAACACCATCCTTTCCTTTTTTCCAAACAGTATGAAATTCTACTGTAAAAGAAATTTGCAATACTCATGAAACTTTATTGTAACACAACCACTTTTCTAGGTTAATTTTGCTAATGATAAAACATGTCTATCTCTCTTAAATGTGAGGTTGAATGTGTGGCTCACTTTACTGTGGTGTTTTCAGGTTTATGTTTAAAATATAATCATGATCAAGGAGCACATCCATAGAGCTTCTACCCCTAAAGTGGAGGTGTGTAATGTACCAAAACAGACTCTTCCTATAACACTGCAATTCACTGGTAAATATGCCTTAAAAAACAAACAAGACTCAATACCTTATTGTGCAGTGTTTATCGAGAAGTATAACCTCCAATGAGCCTTAAATTTTAAAGTTTAAATTAAATCTATTGTTACAATAAGGAACAATTTTCTTGTTTAAATGGATAAGACAAACTGCTCAAACTTCATCTACATGTTGTATCAATGCTCTGGGTTTAAAAAGACTGACAGATAGAATTTCACCACAATCTAGGAGTAGTTTGGCATTTAACAAAGTGCATGGAAGTGTCAATGAGTGTTTAGTGTTTTATATTTCAGTGATATTCTGTTAACAATCACGAAGTCTAAAATTACTGAACTGTTGAAAATTACTTTGTTTTAGGAATCAAAGAGACAGTAATGAAAGTAGTACATTTAAATAGTACTCATTTGTTTTAAACAAGGGTAGCTGATGAATTGATGCTCCGTACTTAATTATACTGTTTACTTCTCTAGCAGGATACTGTGCAGAGAACTTATAAAGAACTGATCACTTCCATTGGCATATAATTCAATGTAAATGACTTTAAGCTCTCATTTGATTATTAACCCTTTAGCAGAAAATTAATATATATATGCTTAACCTTTAAAATGCCAAGAAAAGCCACATCAAAATTTCTTTTAAAAAAATATTTCATAGGCTGCAAGAAAAGCATAAAGAAGGAGAAATGAATCACAAGAGGAAAAAGCAGCAATGCTATGAGCTGATAGAGTTGGAAAAACAGATAAGAAGAGAAATAAAGCACAGGAAGAAAGAGAAGTACATATATATAAGGCTTGAAGCTGAAAGAGTTAGAAAAGCTGAAATATGTGCACAAGAATCTGATGAATTAAGAAATGAAAGACTTGAAGGAATGAGGGAGGCAGCTGTAGCAAGAAGTTTGAGAGAAACTATAGAGGAAAGAGAGAGAGAAGAAGGCAAGGATTACATTTTGTAGCTCACCACTATGATTCTCAATGTGGTATATCAAGAAGCTTTAATTTAGAATGTATAATTTTTATTTTGAAAATTAAACGTTTAGATAAAAATTAAAATGTTATGAAAATAAAATTTTTTTAAATAAATGTTCTTAAAATAAATATCTGTGTTCTTAGGTACGTATTTCAAGTAATTTGGACATCTGTGCAAGAAATAGGTAATTCAGCTAGTTTCAAATAAGTGACTTAATTATTGTTGAATTATCTTATGATTGTGATACATTATACAATTTAATTGACAATTTAATAATTAATTTCTAAAGTATATTGTAGTACAAACTAAAACTCTAGGATAAAATGTTGTATATTGTAGTACAAATTAAAACTCTAGGATAAAATGTTGTATATTGTAGTAAAAACTAAAACTCTAGTATAAAATGTTGTATATTGTTGTAAAAACTAAAACTCTAGTATAAGATGTTGTATATTGTAGTACACTAAAACTCTAGGATAAAATGTATATTGTAGTACAAAATAAACTCTAGGATAAAATGTTGTTTATTGTAGTACAAAATAAACTCTTGGATAAAATGTTGTATATTGTTGTACAAACTAAAACTCTAGGATAAAATGTATATTGTAGTACAAAATAAACTCTAGGATAAAATGCTGTATATTGTAGTACAAAATAAACTCTTGGATAAAATGTTGTATATTGTAGTACAAACTAAAACTCTAGGATAAAATGTCTTTGCATAAAAATTAGTTTAAATTGAAATTTAATAGTTTTAAAGGTTATGGTAGGCTAACATTTACATATTTGTAAACAGTAATCTTCATGGGGAACAAAATCTTTATACTAGCTTTTAGTTACAATATAAGAGCATAGTTATACTTAAACTTATGAGTTATGTTTGAGTTATAATTCTTTTTTTTTAATGTCCTTGTGGTTAAATCCAGAATTGATAACAAGGTTATCATCATTTAGGGAAAGTAACAGTTTAATAGATTAGTTTAAACAGTTAAAATTATTTGAATTGCTTTTTAGTACTTTTTTGTTGAATATAAATATTATTTATGGTTTAAAATATACTATAGTACAGACAGGAAGAATGGTATAAAATTGTATGCCATACACAGTGCCTAAACTTAGGATATTTGGCACTCCACCACATGAAAGAGTTGTTCTGAATTAGCATTCTTCCACAGAAATTTTAATGCTTCTAATTTTTTGCAAAATTGTTTAAGGCAAACAATAGATCTAGGCATACATTTGGTTTGGACTGTTTCTTCCTGGATTTGGTTGTTTGGAAATTTAATTAACCAATTTGACAACATGCTGTCAAGTGACTCATCCTTTAAACTGTTTATGCAATGCTGAAAATTGTGCACTTTTTAATCATCTATATTTAAGTACTCAACTGTATGAAATACTATTTTATAAAAATGACTCCTCTATCAAAATTTTCACCCCCTCAGTGCTAGTGATGAGTGTAAATTTTTAACACTGGCCAGACACACATTTCTATAACTAATAGCAACACCACCAGAATAATGTGACAAATATGTCATAGGTTGATTGTCACATTCTCTATTAGTTATACGGTGTGGCAAATACGTCATTGGTTAAAGTGTCCTACTTCCTGTTAGTTATATAGTAACTTCAGGTAATATGAATGTGTTTTATGATAAAACTACATACACCGAGTTCAGTACAAAATTGGTAATAAAGCAGTTTGCCCATAAGAACTTTTGCTAATTTTTGTACATTTTTATAGCTAAATTGTAATTTATTAGGTAAAATGTGTTGATAAAGTTAGTCAGATAAAGAAATTTAGTTGTTTCTAATTTATTTTTCTTATCTTACAATAGTTATTTGTTCAGATTTCAGACAGTCAAACCAAAAAATATCACAGAGAAAATATCTATAAATATTTTATTTGGTGACTAACTTGGTTGGAATTTACTTTGTAAAAAGCTTTTCAGTCATGTTGACGTTCACACTTCAACAGAAATTTACATTATTACAACAACAGAGGCTGTAGTTCTGTAGTTTAAACATTAGAATCTAGAAGTAGAAGAAGAGTAGTGTACTGAATGTCTAGGATGGGGAGATTTTGTACAATTTTGTAAAAACAAATGAAACTACCATTAGAAATGTAGGAAAACATCATGAAAGCAAAACCATAGTGTATTAACATAGTAAATGCATATACTTAATATCAGGTGACTTATTGGAACTGTTGAAAGTCCCATTCCCTACATTTTGATAGCTATACCAGTATATAACAAGTTTTTCATTGGAAACGGTGTTCAAAGTGAATTAAAAATACACATTTTTAGCCATTTGTCACTTATATTATGCAAAAATAAAATTTTTGTCTAATAAAATATGTATTTCAAACTGAAATACTGTGACTGTATTGTAATTGTAACTGTAAGTTGAATTTTAGTGTTTTATGTACAAAAATAGTTTTTCATTGTTTATTACTTTTCATATATGTGACATAATTATATAAAAGCATAAACCTACGTACACTATAATTCTGACATGGTCTTATCTCCTTTGCACAAAGCTATCTCAATTTTCTTCTTCCCTCTAAGCATTGCTAGATTTTCGCAATCTGTACAGCAGTCTATATACCCCATCAAGTTTTCGCCATGTCTGAACATGTATATATCATATGGCAACTCTCCACCAATTGTATTGCACTACCTATATTGGCGCAGCCAGCTTCCTCTTCTATTCCCGTTCAATCATTACTTACTCGATTGGCACAGCATTGTTTAGATGTGTTTTTCGTATGTGACTACGGTTTCCGAATGTGCTTCTTTGCCCTTTCAATTTTTTCTTCAACAGCTTTAGTTTACTTATGTTTACATTTATTTCTTGTTACCAATTTATAAGAGATCTTAGTATTCTTTTGTGATAAATATATCGATTACAGAAATACCCATTACAGTTGAAAAAGCTACTGTAAAGACTTCCCAGGAATCAGGTTCGATTTTATTTGTAGAAGAGGAATAGGCCTTAATATGCAGGGAGCTAGATTCATGTTTGGCTAGCAATTTCTTCTCCTTTTCAACCTGACAATGTTTCTGAATATGATCAATGAAAAGACATGTGGACTTTCTTTTTCTGGCACCTTCTCAATATGGTCTGTCATTTGTTATTATTACATACTTTGTGGACTAGGTAAATTTGGTTGTTTTGTTTGTTTGATATTTTTAGTACTTTGTTCACTAGGTATGTTTAGATGATTTGTACATTGCATATCATTACAACTAGTAGTAGTAACATAATTAATTGTTCTATCTGAATAATTTTTTCATCATTGTTAACTATGTACCTTATCATAATTTTCGTATGTGTAGGATTTAATTTTTTCCTTTGTAACATAACTGACGTGTTTGTTTATTTCCTGTTTCTAGGGCTGAGATTTGCTTTGGCTCCTTTTTCTACATTCATGATACTAGAAACCTTATTTTCTCCTCATAATCTACAATTTGGAGTTATTTCCCACAGTGCTCATTTTATCGATAGTTATTTATTGCTCAAATTTGTGTTTTCTAGTTCAGGGCCCTACTGCTTGGACTTGCCTCATCTCTTTAATTATTTTGTCATGGGGTGGGTATAAACTTTTGCCAGACATCTTCACTCTGTGAGTCTTTGCACTATTCTTTTCTATGGATGACCAGCTCCTGCTTACTTCTTCCCATTCACAGTCCAAAGACCACACTCCTCTGCACCTACAGGATGCAGTATGTGTTGAATTCCTGATGACAGTGAGAAAATCCATTCTTATCCCCTCTCAATACCCTGTTCATTTGGGAGTTTTTCTTTCCAACCTTAGTTAGGCCCAACCTTCTCCTCTTCATCGTCAAGTTTGGAGCAAGCAGTTCACACGCCCCTCACATTCCTTACAGCTCAAGATATTCTATCTATTTGGGGATGTAGGCTTCTTTGGAAGCTCTCTTTTCCATTGGTCAGGCTCATATGTGAACACTACTAAATCAGTGGAACTTCTCCTTGGATCTCTGGCTTGGTGGTTAGACAGAGACCAGACCACAATGGTGATGCTGCTTAACCCACCTCATCTAGATTTAAATTTGTTGACAAACTCATCTTTAGAGGGTTGGGGTTCTTACCTCGCCCTCCGGGAGATTTCAAATTTCTGGTCAGTTAAGAAGCCTTATCTTCATATGATCTCAAACCTTTGGTAGTTTGTCAAATTTTGTCCCACTTACTTCCTCTCTTATGGGAGGTGAGTGGTTATGGTACATACCAAAATCTCCACAGTTGTCACATAAAACACAGAGCCAGAGGGGACCAATTCAAGGTCTCTGTGCTTTCAGATTCTGGATCTCCTTTCTGAACCCACACTTGCATTTTTCCTGGCTCCCTGAATCTGGTAGTGGATCAATTATCTCCTCCCAACAAAATTCTCCTCACAGAGTGGTTCCTTGATCCACAGGTCTTTAAGTGGGTGTGTTCTCAGTTGGAGACACCTCATATATACTTTTGTTACTCACTGGAACATCAACTTCCTTCCATTTAGTCTCCTGACTACTGACTCTGGTTGCATTTTGTCAAGATTAGAGGAGTCTTCACATTGTCCTCCAAATTGACTCCAGAGTTCTATCCTTATTCCAAACCACTCCATGTCTTGTCTTACTGGTGGCTCTGTCTTAACCAGCACAACCATCATTCCATTGCTCCAACTTTTACTTGTACAACCTTCTTTACCTTTCCCTTTTTCTCAGTCCCTATTCTGTCAACCTCGGTAGGACATTGTTCATTCAGATGTCATTACAATGTTTTCATACATGGCTTTTG